TCGCGGTGCCCGCGCTGAGCACGGCCGGCTTCAGGGACGGGCGGCCGTGCAGCCCCGCGTGCACTGACGACCCTCCCTGCCTCCCCATCGCCGTTGCGCACGCCCACCCCCGGGGCTCCCACGCGCCCTGCCTCTTCTTCGTACGCTCCAGCCCCGCGTGCGGCGGCGGCACGACCTCCTCGAAGATGAATTCAGTTTACGCCCGAGAGCAGATCAACCAGTGCACGGCCTACATCGACGCCTCCAACATTTACGGGAGCTCGGAGCGAGAATCCCAGGCCCTCAGAGACCACTCAGTGCCCCGGGGACTGCTGAGGACAGGCTTGCCGTGGTCCCCCTCCGGGAAGCACTTACTGCCCTTTTCTCCAGGCCCACGCTCCGAGTGCCCGAGGCATGAACAGGACAGCCCCAGCCCCTGTTTCCTGGCCGGGGACCACCGGGCCAACGCGCACCTGGCTCTGACGGCCGTGCACACCCTGTGGTTCCGCGAGCACAACAGGGTGGCCTCGGAGCTGTCCGCCCTGAACCCCCACTGGGATGGAGACACGCTTTATCAGGAAGCCAGGAAGATCGTGGGCGCCGAGCTGCAGCACATCACCTACAGCCACTGGCTGCCCAAGATCCTCGGGGACCGCGGCATGAAGATGCTGAAGGGGTACCAGGGCTACGACCCCAATGTGAACACGGGGATCCTCAACTCTTTTGCTACCGCAGCCTTCAGATTTGGCCACACATCAAACAATCCCATTCTTTACCGGCTGAATGCCACCTTTGGCGAAATTCCCGAAGGCCACCTTCCACTCCATAAGGCTTTCTTTTCACCGTCCACAATAATATTTGGCCACACATCAAACAATCCCATTCTTTACCGGCTGAATGCCACCTTCGGCGAAATTCCCGAAGGCCACCTTCCACTCCATAAGGCTTTCTTTTCACCGTCCACAATAATCAAGGAAGGCGGGATAGATCCACTGCTCCGGGGGCTTTTCGGCGTGGCTGCTCAGCTGCCGGTGCCCTCTCGACTTCTCAGCCTGGAGCTGACGGAGAAGCTGTTCTCCACGGCCCATTCTGTGGCCCTGGATTTAGCTGCCACCGACATTCAGAGGGGTCGAGACCACGGGATACCGCCGTATGTCGACTTCAGAGTGTTTTGTAATTTAACTTCTGTTGAGAACTTTGAGGATCTTCAAAATGAAATTAAAGATTCAGGGATTAGACAAAAACTGAAAAAGTAAGTATGCAAATATTGCCTGGATTGAAGGGCATTTTGTGTGAATGAAATTTGGTTTCCTGGAGACTTTATTGCAGAGCCTTTAGTAATTGTTATTGTGGGAGAAGTTTAATATTAAATGAAGGATTCTCCAGAGACTGAAATCCCGCCATTTGCACCCTTGTCTATCCTCTGCCTTTATAATTGCAAATATTGCTGCCTCCTGTTCACCTGCAGTGAATCTCGATTAGGAGAGGAGAGGTAGGCATGTCTAGTTCGTTCACATTTTCAGGTAATCTAAGCAATGGCCTTTGTAGATATAAAGCCATAAAATCTGGTGTAAAGCTATAAACTGACTCACCACATAGGCTTTTTTAGGCAGAGTGAAAATTAAAATATTTTTTTTTCTGTCAAAATAACAAATAGTTCTAAATTTATCATCAGAATGTAAGTTTGGGCTTTTACTGCATCCTTAATGCCTTTAAGTGAAATATCTCTTTTTCGTATATGTGAGATTCAAATTTTCTTTGCATTTGCAAGTCTAAAAATTTTTCAGAAAACACTTCAACTGTTCTTCATGCTCACCACCCTTTGTCCCTTAAAATATTAAAAATAAATAAATAAATGTTTCATCAAGGAGTTTTACCTGTAGTAGGCTAAATAGAGACTAACATATTTACTAGTAGATTAAGGTATATTAATATGAAATCTTTCAGAGAAGTTTAAAATTGTAAATTATGTAGCCAAATTCCTTTGCAAACCAAGGATATGAATACTTTTATGCTACTAGAATTTGTCTTACATGTATGTGGAATATCAATCTGTAAAATGTATAAAATATTTCAAACAAATCAGAATACCATGCAGGTTGAATTTGCAAGTTTCTACTGAAAAGGACACTGACTTTGAATTCAGAGACTTGGTTTAAATCTGTTCTAATACCTATTAGTACTGAGAGCTTGTGAAACGTATTTAAACAGTTTCGAATCTCAGAATACTATAAAATGAGAAAGAAAGTAGTGCTTCCTTCTCAGAGTTAAGGATTAAATTACATAAAATGCACCCAATACCTAGCTCAGTTCCTGCTGCATCATAGGCAATCAATAAGTGTTAGCATAGATATTTTATTATAACGTTATCATTTCAGGGCCAGCACCATTATTAGGCTGCACTCTGCCACGCCCCTGCCCTTCGCTGGGTGCTGGCCAGAGACAAGGCAGCAGCCTGTGTGCAGCAGAGAGGCTGACAGCTGTTATGGGCGGTCTTGAAAGACTTGCTAGCGGTGGGGATTAATGCTGTGGGAGCACAGAGCTGAGAAATGGAAGGTGTGTGCAAGATTCGCAGCGAGCTACTGATAAAAGATGCCATTTGATCTCGCCTTGGAGTTTTCTTTTCTTTTTTTTTTTTTCCGTTAAATTTTTATTTTGTCAATATACACTGTATATGATTATTATGGCCCATCACCG